GCCGTCTGTGTAAGCAATTATTTTTTTGTGCCGCGTGAGGTTGACTGTAATACCTTCCAAATATTCTAATGTCTGTGAATCAGTGGCTATGATATTTTTCAAAAAGGTTGAGTCATCTATATTGTTTCTAATACTTTTATAATTTACTCTTGTAGGGATATTATTATGGTATATGTTAAGTGAATTGGGGGAAATAACCATTCTCATTTTTTGTCTGTTATCGTTTTGATTACCAATTGAGAATTTCGAGTTTCTAATTGGAAGTTGACTCTTTTCAGCAATATTGGCTGTAATTGAGCAATAAGTGATATCTGTATTATTTGTATTTGATATTGTTTCTTTTAATGAACATCCACTACATGCCGCCAGTGGAGATTGTAATGTTCCCTGCGATTCTTCTTGTATATAGTGTTGCATAATGATTTTCTGATCTTTTGTTTTAGGTTCCCATGTGATCTTCCCAATAATTGGACCTGAGGAGTGTTTGATTGTGACTAACGTACCCTTTAGTTTATTTTCTGTTCCAATTATTGATAATCTATTGATTGAATTGTTTGTAATTTTTTCTCTTATATAATTTAAATTTTCTTCTATTTTCTTCTTTAATTCTGGATACCAGGTAACGTTTCTGCGCGGAATCTCATATTGGTGAATTCTTTTAAGTTCTAGAATTTTACTCAAATCTGCATTCAGTAGTTGTTCAATATATAAGATTCCATACTTCCTTAAACTATCTCTATGCTTATAGTACCATGTTTCTGATTCCATGAAGGATTCTATGTCAATAATTCCATTCCCGAGTTTAATTGGAAAGTCAATTGTACCATTCATACATATTTCAATGTCATTTTTTGCTAAAAGTTTTAATATTTCTCCAGTCAAGTTGTGGTTACGTGCTTTATATTTATTTATTGTTTCAGCACTCCAAATACTCTTTATTGTCCACATATAGTCCTATAATTTTTGTAACCTCACTTTTGTAGTCCATCCACATCGATCTACTTTATTGATTCTATTTATTAATTCTGTCGAATGTAATTGTAATTGTCTTTTATGTAGGCAAAAAAGTTTATATCCGATCGCAGCGTATAGAACACTATTAGGTAGTTTAGACGTGTATCCACAAGATCTCCTAAATACCATTCGTATTCTGGCGTTGATTTTTTCTAGCTCTTTTTCTGGATATACATAGTCCATTAGGAGGTACTCTATCTGTGAAAATAATACATGGTTTATTATGTATCGACTTTGCTTATCCGTTAGCTGTTTTCGGATCATAGTCGTTGTAGTTTTAGAAACTTTTTCCTCAATGAGTTTTTTCTGGTATATTTTTTTTCCATTTTCTTGTAACCAAATACCTAGATATCTGACTGCTTCCGAGGGTTTAGCTGGTATTATCGTGTCATTGATAAAATTAACTCCATTTATTTTATTTTCTTTACTGCCATTGATTATAATTAATTCTGATTTTGACACATTGACCTTGATCTTATTGAGTGTAAAAAATTCTTCAACAATTTTTAGTATTTCCATCATATTTGGTTTATTATTGGTCATCCAAACAGTATCATCCATATATGCCATAGATGTTACCATCTTTTCTTCATATATCTGTTCTTTTAAGGTCATGTCTACTCTCCATTTTAATTCCATTTTATATCCTCTTTTAAGAGTTTCAATTTCTGCTAATAATGGGTCATAGAATATACACCAAAGTACGGGAGAGATCGAGAACCTTGGTCTACCTCTTTATTTACTCTGTATTTGTCAGTGGGACCGTATTCCGTTAGTCCTTATGCTGTTCGGTTAGTTTCGATGTAATTAATTATTTTAATAATCATTTTGGGTATTTGTAATCATTTTAATGCCAATTTCATTAATTTTGCATCTACTGAGTCAAAAGCTTTGCTAATGTCTTGAAAGAGTAACCATAGTTCCTTCTTTTCCTCACGAGCATCTTCCATCATATTATTTATAATATGTATAGGATG